GCTTGCATACTCATTGCATGCTTGCGTACTCATCATTGCACTTGCATCATTACACTTGCATACTTACACTTGCATACTTACACGTGCATTACACTTGCATAATCTTGCATACATTGCACTGGGATGCTTTCGCTCTTCCACTTACACTGGGGTACGTATAGCGTTCATGTTGTCGTGCAAGTGTGGTGGAAGTGTCAGTGTGTAAGTGTAAGTGTCGAAGTGTCAGTGTTCAAGGGATTTTGCGGAAGAACCCTTCGCAATGCTTTCGGGAAAAACATGAACCTTGGGATAATCTGCGATTCTCAGTTTCTCTTGCGGCCTCTCAGCATATACCACCGTACATTGTATTCCTTCTATTCAATGTAATTCCCTGTTAACCGCTCACTTCTGGTTCTATTTACCTTCTCTATGCTTTGTTGAAGCAGCGGTTGGCGATTCTTTAGGTTGAGGGTCTGCGTGGAGCGGACATGTTGTGCGTGTGTTTTCTTTTAAGGTTGTTAGTTGTTCATTCCCGATGCCTTTTACAAAGTCAAGTCCCTCGCTTTGTTCCACTCATAAAACTATGACCTAAGGCTGCGCCAAGTCGTCCAGCAAGTAGATCCTCTCATTCAGGCAAGATGCCCAGGATTGCGGGGATAGCTGACATAAAGTAGATTGCAACCGATTTCCTGAGCACAAGCCAAGTGTCAATGTGTGACATACTGTACTAAGCAAACATAAGTGACTACGACCACTTGGGCACTGGCAAATGCAACAGCAACGCTGACAGAAAGCACATGGCAGTCGAGAAGGGCAAAGTCTCGGCAAGATTCTCCCATGCAACAGGAGGGGCAGGCGTCCATGGTGTCCACTCTCTACAGCTCTATCTGTTGTTGATACCTACCCGCCTTCTCATGCTTATGTTTGAAGGAAGCTTGTGAAAAAAAAGCTTCCTGACATAAGCAGCACAAGGCTGCTGGACCAAATCGAAGGATCAACTCTGCATAGTATGACTAGCTATTATATTCAGCCAAGCTTGCAGAATCTTGTGAACACAGCTACGGAAGGAGGAGCTACAGTAGTACACAGTACGAGTACTGGCACTGGTACAGTAGCTGCTCATGTGCGCTTGGTTGAACAAAAACGAATCAACACATAAAATAACATGTGACTCACACAGTATGCGACATCTGCACCCCCGCCCGGTAACTCAGCCGCAAGCACTCACTGACAGCATCACAAAGCGGAAGAAACAAAGAACGCATTCATCCTCGCTGTCATAGCCTGCAAGTCTGATTGGAATGATTGACACACGTAGCAACATCTTTCCGTTTTGTCCTTTGCAAACGTGTAGTGTGGTGATGATTTGTGTGGTGGTTGCTGACATACTGCGCGTGCATTTATTTGGGGGGCCGGGAGCCTCGTTTCAGCTTCGCTTGCAGCAGCATCTGGTTGGCAATGGCACTCAGCAAAGTGAAAAGACATACCTTAGCAATTCTCACATACAAGACTCTTGTGCACAAGCAAAGCGACCCCAACACAAACAGCAAGTCAGCACCTCTTGCAAAAATAACTGTGCATGGACCTACACGCACTCAAATAACTATAGTAAAACGTAAAAAATCCAAACGACTGTGACTCGGACAAAGAAGTTGGTCGAGTGGAGGGGGTGCTGTTCATCACCTAATGCAGTTGTCCAGATTCTGAGTTATACACCGGGAAGAATCAATACGTATGCAATTACGTCAAAGGGAGTCCAAAACCAGCAATTGCTTGTTTGTGAGGGATGGCACGTCGCAAACGTACTTCCATGGCTCAAGGGCGGGCACCTCTGGGTCCCAGGCAATGATTAGGATGAAAAAGGCACATTTGGCACCGAAGCCCGTTGTCCGCATACCTCTGAACTAACCGATCGCGACAAACAGTCCGGTTGTGTGATCATGTATGATATTGTGGCCAGCTACTGATCTGTCGGATGCGACTCACGGGCTTCAAACCCTAGGGTCACCAGGCATAGAGGTAGGCTGCAATACACAACCTAGGCATCGCCAGGTACATAGGCGGCTGTCAAAATGTGTTTCCCAAAAGTGTCGATTTTGCAAACCGGCTAGGTGCTGGCGCTAGTGCAGAGCTAGCGCGTGGCTAACACGAAAAAACGACATCGTGTGAGACTCCTCCAAGGTTGACACGGGGAGCCTTCAAAAACAACATTTTATGCGCCATCCACACCCAGCAATGACCGTCTCAAAGTGTGACGTTTGCATATTTTTGTCATACCCTCAGCTGGACTCTGCAGTTGCGTTGTAGACCCCAAATCGTGGGGTCCAACTGCTCATTCCCCAGGGCTGTGGTCAAATCGCGCTAAAGTGTTAGACCCCCCTGGGGTAACTCAAGCGCAGGCTATGTTTATACAACCAAAATCCAGCCCTACCATTCAAGACCCTGCCATGAAGGATATTCAGCCCTCAAACAAACCGTTACTGTGATTCTGAAGTTGGGACTTCGTCTGGAACAGAGAAAGTTTGAATCAAATAAAGCGGTAACCAGATATAACCAGATATTCAAAGTTCAAGAAAAACAAAAGAATCGAACCGTGCTCTTCGTCTGGCACCTTCACAAGCAATATGTTTGAATGTGCGTCATTCAGGCATCCAAGGGCCTAGAGCCGATCCAAGGGTCTAGTCGAAAATGTAATTGTTTGTTGTGTCAAAAGAACTGAAGAGCTGAGTTTACAAAAGGGTATTCAGAAATTCAGTTCAGATCCTGTCCCTTGACAGGGAACATAAGGTCCTGCATGGATGTGAGTGGGACGGCTTCAAAAGCAGGATTCATCAGCAACAATCAACATGAAGTAACACAAAGCTGAACAAGCGAAGACTATGTTCATGTGCACAATGCTCATGTACACAGCGATTTTGTCGCTATGCATAGAAACCATGTACGACGAAGTACGACGGCTTGTTTTTCTTGAGCCAAACGTGTTGCCATGTAGGCAAGTGGTCATGAACGCTGATGCGGTACGGATGTATTCATTGATGCGGTACGGATTTGATTCTTTTTGATGCGTGTGCCTGAGTGAGTGAGTGGGTGGGTGAGTGAGAGTGAGTGAGAGTGAGTGAGTGCGAGAGTGAGAGGGAGAAGAGAGGAGAACAAAAACCCCTCTTGCGGAATCAACGTAGTGTGCGGGCCCACCCCCAAACAAAGACCCAAAACGTACGTCGCCAATGAAAAATGCTCTCGCCCTCTATGGAGCTGCGCGCTAAGAGCTCAATGTGGACCTTTTTGGACAGTTGGGATATGTATACATGGCCTCTGTAGCTGCTCGCAAACACTTCTGGAGTCAATGATCAATGTTCCTCTCGCTGCTCACTGGCGTTACTCCATGGCATCAACTCTCAAGGACAAATCCGCAGAGGCTCTCTAGCCGCCTATCTCATTTTATGAACCAACGAACCGAAGAACTAACGCAACGTGACAGTAATGCCTCTCTTGGTCGGTGGTTTCTTCTTTCCTCTGTTTTGGTCTTTCAGCGCTGAGCGAACCCAATTTCCTCATGTTGTTCAATTTGAGCCCGCGCTGGGTAGATTTCTCCCCACCACAAGCGTTCACTGCTGGGTCGTTTGCGTCTCCTACGAAGATACAGTCACTGACCATGGCCTGATATGACATTATTAACCGCTTCAGGAGTGGATCGGCAAATGATTGCCGGAATCCAAGTGACAAGAAGTGTTCTCGTACTGATTCACACCAATCCGTAACAGTGCTTCCCTTTCGAATTTGCATCGTTTCGCCAAAAGCCTTTGGTAAGATTTCAATACATGTCTTCTGCCCACTCGCGGCCTTGGAGGAAGGCCGCTGACACGTCTCCTTTCCAACATGTCCACTTTCGACACGCTGCTCGTCGCAACATCAGTTGTTTTGTGTGCGTCGAGTTGTTGTACTCTACAGTTCGTTTGTAGTTATAACCTACTTGGGCCACTTTTATTCTAAAACAGGTAGACTTAAGGCCTACTTACAACAAGTTGTACATAGTACATAGTGCACTTATAAGTAGAACCTAAATATGAGCTAAGTATGGTAAAAACACAAGCTAAACAAGTTTCATTTTGTTTTCAAAATTCTCTTTTGTAAGTGCTTTTCAAGAACCAACGCGTGAGAACAACCTCAACCGACCTCAATTTCAGAAGAAGTGTGAAAACCAGCACCATGAGCGGGCATCACACTATCACCTTGAGCTCATTGAGGGGGCCATGGCAGTGAAAGTGAGCTTAACGGGTATCAACAGTTCCTTGTTCGTGTGCTTCGGCCTTTTTCACTCAGTTTGTGTGCTTCGGGCATTTTTCTGTAAAAGCTTGCTGCTCATGAGCGGCGCGCATCGGTAAGAGATATAAGGTGATAAGGTTTCCAGAATATATGTCGGAATGTCGGGATGTGTCGGGAATGCATGGGGGATGTGTCGGGAGGGCGTCAGGGAAACGCCACTTCGCTCTTTCTGCACAGGGCAAACCTTCAGCGACAAGCTGCTGGCTTCCTTAAGTTTGCCGAAGACAAGGAGGAAAGAGAGAAAACTCAGCAAAACACAACAAAACCAATGTCAAAACTGCCAAGAAGGACAGAGTTGAAAGGATGCCAAGAAGGACAAGGTTCACGGCAAGGTGAACCGCTGAAGAAACACAGAGTAGGCAACACACAGCCCTTTTCTCACACATGGCATCGAGCAGCTTGGAAATTTGCAAGACTTTGTCGCAAAAAGGAAAAGGCAAATTAAGACTAACAGCATCAGTATCTAGTTCATAAGTAGTTCGCATGTAGTTCACAAGTGGTTCATAAGTATCGCGTTTGCCTGCTTATATGTACCTCAACTTTTTGCAAGTAAGGTCGGTATATCCCCCAGCTAAGCACACTAAGGCCCACATCTACTCATGAAACTTTGGATCCACTTGCCAGAACTTATCCTTGTGTAAGTAGATGTCACGCTTGTTGTAACAATAGATGCAAGTTTTGTAGCTAGGCCTGAGCCACTGGGTGGAGCATAAAATGGTGTTCTATGCTCGTATTTGGGATCTTGACGGTTGAAGGCCATCTCATGGCCAAAGCCTGAGAACAAGAAGGCTGTAGATTCTGACCTCAAAGCCTTGTTGACCTCTACGCCTCTGCATGTGTGTCTTGGCTCTTGGTCCATGTGTCGTTCATGGACTTCGACATCAACATGCTTTTTCTTCACAGTGTTCACAATGAAGTCCGTTCGATCTTTGGCCAATTTCATCCGACAGTGTGTAGACGCTGGTATTATTGTGACATGCTGCATCTAGCATACGTCTGATCTCCAGCTGGTCAGGTGTCTGATCCCCATGCGCTGTTACTGTTGCATCTTCATGTCATTGCTCGCGGATTTGGCGCCTCGAGGCTTCAGGGCTCTGACGCCTCCATACCTCGACACGTCCACGCTTCGACACCTCAACGACTCGGAGCTTCAGCGCTTGGCGGCTTAGACGCTTCGATGCCTCCACGCCTCGAAGCTTCGACGTTTGGCGGCTTGGGCGCTTTGCGGCTTGAAAGCTTGAACGCGCGTTTACGTGAACCCAAATGCCCGTGCAATGGACAAATCCAACTTGGTCATTATTTCTAGAGTAGGGACTTGTGACTTTGAATGCAATCCATATAGAGGTGCAGCTGGTGTAGTCCGATGTACTTTGCCGGTTGCATCCCTGGTGACATGCCACGTTTGAGACAGTCGTTTAGAAATAGCCGCAAGCGGTTTCAACATGTCTAATGGTGCAGTTTCCGTGTACAGTAATGTCTGCAATGTTGTGAGTACACTTCTCATGGATGAGGGCACGGCTGCTGTGGGAAATCTTGCAAGACAAACTTCAGCACAATCCTCGTGAAGAATTTGTCTGCAAATGTCTGAGACAAAGGAAACGTGAAAAAATACGCCTCTCTGCTGGCTTTTCTACAGGGGGCTGACGGAGCCTCACAATGCCAAGGAGCACTCGGCTCAGCAGCTTTCCAGTGTCGACCTGAGCTACAGGGAAGTGATGAGCTTGCCGCCTACGATACACCTTCCAAGCTTTCTTGTTCAGCAAGATGGTTCAACCAAGCTGGGAGCAAAAAGAAAGAAGCGCCGGAGAACCTCAGCACAAAACCACGACCATGATCCATCTGATCCATCAAGATGTCATCAATTCATCACCGCCTTGGACCGAAACTAGAGCGCAAGAAGAACAGCTACCCAGCAGTATCACTGCCACCATCTGACAGGGGCTTCCTAGGCGTGGCGCTAGCACCGCCAACGAAAGCTGGACCTCGTGTTGCACTCTTGGCGGGGGCGTGGGATCATGTCCGATCACAGTAAACAGCGAGCATTTCTGGAGCACCAAGGCCACTGCCAGAAGGAAAAAACACGTAGCAGCTTTGGTAAAGGAAAGGACCTGTACAGCATAGCCATTCATTTCAGTCTCAAGCCATTTGGAGCAAAATGGTGAGGACGGAATGTCAAGCAAATGTCCATGTAAGTTGCGGGTGGTAATGATCAAACACGGAGGGCAACATGGGCTTCGTATCGCTCCTGTGTGAAAACGAGAACTGGGCTAGAGCGAGCCACTAGAGTCACTAGAGTGAACCCAAGTGCGGAACCCAGTTCCTATGATTAAAACGTCCCTATATATTTATATCACATCCTATATTCAAAATTAAATCCACTGTGGGAAACCCTATATATATACAGCATGATTTAGATTCAAAGGCTTAATTAGCGCTTGCATGTCTCATTGCCACACGGCAACCAAAGGTATCTTTTGGTGATTTTTGGTGACTGCTTGCACTTACGTAGATCTCTTAAGCCTGTTTTCGTTTCTATGTCCATTTCTGTTGGGTTACTATATGTTTCTATCTACTATATGAGGGACGGTCAAAACTCATTGTTATTATTCAACTAGAACACGGACGTCATTGATCTTGAATTGGACCTGATCGTTTTACAGTGTTTTGAGCTCGCCGCATACTTATGCTCATATACAGCGCTGGGGCTATCGGTTTTGAGGTGGACCTTATCGTTTTGCAGGGTTTTGTCCAAAAACCTACACCTCTTTACTAAAGTGGTGTTCGCATGTTTTCACCGTAGCTCATATAGTTTCTTCTTCCAGGGCAACAAACACGGTAAACGGATGCTCAATCGGCTCAATCATACTAGCCAGAAATTAGTTTCAACAAGGCTGATTTCACGGAAGGGATTGGAATCCAAAGATTCCGGTTCCGATTTTGCCCCTCCCCCACCGAACCTTACCCAAAGAAAATGGGAAGCCCGCGTCTTTTAGTGGGTGAAAGGGATACTGTAATGGTGTACTTCCCACATGGTGAGTACTTCAGCACGTTTCAAGTCCTCGAAATTTAGATCATAGGAGCATAAACAGGGCATAAACAGGGCCAGCACACCCGATGATGCTTTCCTTGACCACGTTCGTTGAAATTCTGCCTCAGCTGGTTCCCGAAGATCTGTAGGGGTGAGTTTGATGCCTTTTACATCTTTTGACTCTTGCGATCAACCATTGACATACTAGCAGCAGCTACTTGACAATACTGTTGTGGTGTGGGCATGAGTGAGGTACCCCGTTTTGGCCGATACCACTTGCACTGTGAACGTCGTTGACCAATCGACACTTTTCCGGAACAATTTATGCAAAAACGCAAGGATTATATAATATACTACATAATTGTCCTTCTGAAAAGAATCAAGACTGAGCCCCATTCCAACTTCCTTCAAAGCTGCACTGTTTCTGCTGGTGAATGTCCTGCCAAGGAAAACACCCAACAAAACCCTCTTCAAACTGATGCAGCTAAACTTGCGGTGGAAACAAAGTAGTGCATCATGCCTCCAAGTGCGTAATGCGGGAGTCAATAATGAATACGGAGATTTGAACCTGCTTCAACCATGCCAAGAAATACCAAACAAATGAACATCCAAAATCGCTAAATAGCACTGGAGTCGGCCTCATCATTATACTTAGATTTCAGGTTCATGGTGCCATCCCAGGAAGGTTCCTGGTGCTGAAAGGGGTTGATCTATCTGTCTTGCAGGGCGTATGCCTCGCCTCGTGCTTTTCTGTGATGACATAATACCTGGAATCTGCTTTAGTGTAATTACATAACATATTAGTTGGAGTTCAAAAACAACAAAACACCGTCCGTGCAAAGACCGACACAAGTGCCTGCTACCCCAACTATGGCGAACAATGTTGGTAGCGTGGCCGACCGAACCTTGGAGCCGGAGGGCACAAGGTTAAAGGGAAGCACCTAAAAACCAACTACGTAGTAGCAGTTACTAGCATTGAGGCTTGATCCATCCTTGCCGGTTGGGTGAACAACGACCTCCAAGTCCCAACAAAAAACACAAAGGCCAACCGTCAGCAAGCAAGCTCGTCAGTGACAGGAAAAGATTACTTCAATTTGTGTGACCCTCAGCTTGCGACATTTTCTGACATTCTAGCCGGATGGCATTTCTTTTTGACATCCCGTCTGATATTCCAGCATTTATTCTGGCATTCACCTTGCGTAAATATTGTGGTTTTGACATCCTCTGCGGCCTTCTATCTGGCATATTGTCCGAACTTCTGGCATCCCAACTGAATCCAGCTGACATATTTTCTGGCTCTGGCATTCTGTCTGGCATATCCTCTGTCATTCCAACTGGGTGGCTAGGTGAATTACGCCCGGTGGCCTGTAACCCCACTTTATAGATACAACATCCCCACCCCTAAGGGGGGGGACCTGTCTAAATGTAAGCTACATTTTTTGCAACTTTGGGCTTAAAAAATGTAAGTTACATTTTCTTAGGGACACCTTAAAAAATGTAAGTTACATTTTTTGAATAAATGTAAGCTACATTTTTTGAGGTTCCGTTTTCTTGACGCCTTTCTGTGTTTTACCTTTTTCCTCTAGACCGTCTTCCTTTTCTTTCTGCTATTTTTAAGACTTCCAAGCCAGTGACAGAAGCATGCATGTAAAATATGTTCTTTATGGTTTCGTTATTGTTTTGGTATGATTTGTTTTTTTCTCAAGCCTTTGGGCAACTCCAAAGCTTGACCTTTTGGTAGCCTTTCCAGGTGGCTTTGGGGAACCTGCCTCCATCCTTCGGAAAAGGAAAGCCATACCAAAATCATATCAAAACTATATCAAAATCATAACAAAACCATAAGTGTTACACGTTTCTTATGGTTTTCTTAGGACCCAGCCACCCTGGTCATCTCTTACCTCCACAACCCAACCTAGTTTCAAGCCCTTGAGCCATTCCAAGGCCTTTTGACCTTTTGGTAGCCTTTCCAGGTGGCTTTCAACTTTCCATATTGATTGTGTTTTTCCCATATGCATCTTTAGTTCTGTAGATATTTGTAGATTCCATATGTTGCCTTTCAATGTCTAGGTGCATACCACCGGTTTACGGGCGTCCCCAAAAGTAGCTTACATTTTTGGAGGTTCCGTCTTCTTAACGCCTTTCTGTGTTTTCCCTTTTTTCCTGCAGACCTTTCTTCCTTCTCTTCCCGTTCTTTTTTGTATTTCTTTCCTTCTTCTTAGATACCAGTGGGCCCTAGGGCCATTACCCGCTTCCTGACGAAGCCGCTCATGAGAATCTGTTGCTGCATTCTACTGCTGGTTTCTTTCTTTCAGTTGCCATTTGACCGTAGGGTCTTTGCATGGACACTTTCTTGGCTGCTTTTCCCGGATGCATCTTTAGTTTTGTAGTTTTCATATGGTGCCTTTCAATGTCTAGGTATATACCACCGGTTTAGGGGTGTCCCAAAATGTAGCTTACATTTTCGGAGGTTCCGATTTCTTAACGCCTTTCTGTGTTTTCCCCTATTTTCCTCTAGACTTCCTTCTCTTCCCGTTCTTTTCTGTATTTCTTTCGTTCTTCTTAGATACCAGTGGGCCCAGGGCCATTACCCGCTTCCTGACGGAGCCGCTCATGAGAATCTGCTGCTGCATTCTACTGCTGGATTCTTTCTCCTATCTATATGTGCCTCCCCTCTCCCCTCTCAGTTGCCGTAGAGTCTTTGCATGGACACTTGCTTGGCTGCTTTACCCGGATGCATCTTTAGTAATGTAGTTTTCATATATTGCCTTTCAATGTCTAGGTACATACCACCGGTTTAGGGGCGTCCCAAAATGTAGCTTACATTTTTGGAGGTTCCGTTTTCTTAACGCCTCTCTGTGTTTTCCCTTTTTCCTCTAGACCTTTCTTCCTTCTCTTCCCGTTCTTTTCTGTATTTCTTTCTTAGATACCAGTGGGCCCAGGGCCATTACCCGCTTCCTGACTGGATTCTTTCTCCTATAGATTCGGAGTTAGCTCAGCTTTCGTTTACTGTTTGTGGATGATTTGGGCCGGCTTTTTCAAATTCAGCGATGAAGCTTTGACCAATCTTTACGAGAGCGAAATCTACGACAAGATCTCTCGTGAGCTAAGCTGGATCCTCCGCCACTCCGGGTGGACACATGCCGACCAGTCACTCACCGTTTTTGAGCTAATGGCCGGGGCACGATTTAGGAAGATGCTCAGCCAATGGGCATATACCTGCAAGTCCAAGGAAGACCCTGTCTTCCCGGTTGTGCAACAGGCTCAGCTGCAGTCATGGTGTGAACATTCTGTCGAACGCGTAAACATGTTGCTGCCGCTTGCCATCACCATTATGTACAACCAGAAAGTAGGTAGGTACCAAGTTGGCCTTTTGAGCACTTCCGAATATCAAAAAGGTGAAAGGTTTATTGGCAAACCTGAAGCCTGGATCCATCCAGCCGGTATGACGGCTGAGGATTGAAAAGAACTTTCTCAGTTGTATAAGCAATTTAAGGCCGCTCATGTTTTTGCGCAAGCTGTTTCCAGCCATTCGGGAGATGCCAATGCCGCAGCTCCGAATGCAGGCCTGAGAATCCCGCACTGCCAGCTCTCCGATATGCCGGACACGCTGGTTCACATGACCGAGTACCGCCACATCCGTTCGATTCAGCAGTATGGTCTCCTTCCTGGAGGCGGCAATATTGCCGGCAATAAGCAACGAAACATGAATCACTTTTTGCCGATCGACGGACTTTTGGTCTCTTATGAGCACATTCGACCAACCGCAAATGTGGCACTCGTCCTGTCCAAGGCAACGCTGGAACAGCATCCAGAGCTTATGGAAAACTTTAGCCTGAGCAAGAATGGCTATTTTCTGACCAAGGACGTTATTCCGGCCGGTCTTTTCAGTCTTGCATGGGATATCCGAAACATTTGCTGTTTGTCAACCAAACTGTGGGGTATCCCAGCCTCCGCACCAGCCATGTCAGTCCCCGACGAGCCGTATTTGCGTTTCTATTCACAGCTCTTTTGCGAGGTACTGAGGCTGGTAGCCAAAGGACACGACAAGTTCAAGATTGAAACAAGGAGGCTTGCATTTAAGACTATTAAGAATCGCCAGGTTGAGGCATGGCGCAATGAGGCCGTGGAGAAACTTGATCGCCATCAGATCCACGGCATGTCCAAGCTTCACACTGAAACATGGTTGAATTTTCTCTCCCTCGACGACGAATGGAAGGATGCTGAGACCAACATGCGTCGTCTCAAGAAACGCTCATTGTCGGAAACGACCGAGGAAGAGGGAGATGACCTGATTGATGTCGATGATGACGACGACGACATGGAGGTCGACGCCGATATTCCGGCGGAAGACGATGATGATGTTCAGGTCATTAGTACGTTAGATGAGACCATGTTGGATGACCTCGCAGAAGCTCGTCAGAAAGGAACCTGGGTCAAGAAAGGCACTGTGAAGAAGGAAGGGTCCGATATGCCGGACGATCCTTCAGCAGCTGCCTCGTCGTCCTCCGCAGTCAAGAAAGAAGAAGTTGCAAGGGTTTGGTCCTCCCGAGCACGGTCACGAACACCATCTCGCACTGTCCTTAAGAAGGCTGACCATGCACCGGGAACGACCCGCACTCCATCCGAAGGTCGCAGAGTTTCGTTTTCCGACACCCCGGAAACCAAGTAAGTACTTCGAAGCACAGCCGAAGAAGCGTGCGACCTCCCGAGCGCGGGAAGTCATCAGCGATGCAAAGAAGGCACAGAAATCCTCAACCAAGTACTTTCATCGCCCAGAAAAGATGACCTGCCTTACTTGCGCTAATGCCGATGTACTTTTCTTTTGCAGGGCATGCGGACATGGAACATGCCTCGACTGCTATCATGAGGTCGAAAACCATTGCTCATGCAACAGCATTTATCTCTGTTCGACAGTCCCAGACGCCGATATTCCGGCACCGCTGGGTGAGCATGAGCGCGAAGAGATCACCGCAGAAATCGATTTCACGATTCCCTTCGCAGCTGAATCCGAGGGTTGGCACCCGTCTGACCGACATGCCGGTCGACTGCACCGTTTGCAAGAAGTCAAGGACCTTGTTCTCGGTGGCGGCTCAACAGGGTACGCAGCGATGGATCGCATTGTCCTCGAAGGAGTTAGCAAGTACCATTACACGAACTATCCTACCTACAAGAGCCGCGACATTCCCTCGATCGCTCAACACTGGGACGAACAGTCAGATGTGGCACCGTATCCCATCATTCGACCAAGCTGCTTTTACGACTCCAACCGCCGATATTCCGGCGAGGAGATGCGACAGAGTGTCGAGTTAAGCCGTTCGTACATGCAGGGATATCGCGCAAACCGGGAGACTTTGATCTCGATGAGGCAAGACGACTCCGATCGACCGAACATGTCAGCGTCTTGTTGCTCAACTTTGGCGATATCAACCATACGCCTCATTTTAACGGCAAGCAGCCTCTGCCCAGGGAGCTCGCAGATTCGGATCAGTATGCCGTTTTGCCGCACTATCTTGTCAGGAACACTGCACATATTTCGATCCTTCTGGAGGCCAACGGAATTGAACGACACAGGGAGCTTTTCAATCAATATCAGTGTTTGTGTGTCGTTGCCTTGGCGGATGGTGAGTCACCTGCGATTGCAGCAGTTTGCTCCACCGACTTAGGTTCTTCGAGATTGGAACTCATCCGCCGAATCGAGCTCGAAGGCGACCGCCTAGCCTGGGTATATCCCATGCCGCGACATTCCGCGTGATCTGGGGAAAGGTCGATGAATCAACAGATGGAGGCATCACCGAACCCGAAAGAACCTCCGAGTTGCCCTTGAAGAAGGTGCTGATCCAGCAGAACACATGGAGGTGATCGTCTGCCCTGACAGTTTAGCTGTAGCACAAGCATCCACCACTTATGTCGAAGCCGATTCAGTGGATGCAGAGGCATTGTTCCACGAGTGTCCGATATTCCGGACCGGGAGTTTGGACGACTGCAAGCGCATGCACATGCCTGAACTTCGAGTTTGCGCCTTTCATGTCAATGCCCATGCTTTCCAGTCAGGTATTACGGCCGGTAAGAACGCCATTACGAAGATTTTGATCATGGCCGTGGCAGACCAGGTGGACGTCATCGTGTGTGATGCCAATCAGTTCACGAACCGCAACTTCCGGTCCGATCGACATGCCGATCAGGCGACCGGAGCTGTCCTCACCATCCTTGACCAGATCCTTGTATCCACGAACAAGAAGCGTGAGTCGAGCAAGCGCATAGATTATAACTGGGAGGTCTCCGCCCTCGCCAGCGAGCAGCTCGCCGCTTTGGAAGGTCTGGATGCCGATTGCGACTGCATGTTGCAGATCGCCTTAAATTACGGCAAGGACATGCACACGTTGCGGTCAAGAACATCCGATATTCCGGATGATCGTGGACGTATTGGATACGAGCAGCCTCCTCGTCAAAAAGAGACCACCATAAAGGTCTACGAACTCCTTAAGCATCTGAATCATCTTGATCTGTGTCTGAAGAGCAGTGATTTGGGTTACCACCATCCATTCCAGTGCAATTTTTCACTTGCCAGTCGACACAATCCTGATCTTGCCAGACCTCCGCCATGAACCGCGTCGAGAAGAATGCCGATAGAATTGAACGTTTGAAGGAACAGTCTCGG